CCGCCCCCCACCCAGGCCTGATGCCTCTGGCCCAGGCTTCAGGCCTGGGCAGGGGACCCCCATCTCCCCCTGATCACCGGCTCTGCCCTCACCCAGGCCTGACATCTCGGCCAGAGGCGTTGACCCCCATCACCCTCCCCTCGCTGGATCGGCCCCTTGCCCAGGCCTGACGCCTCCGCCAGAGGTGTCAGGCCTGGGCCAGGGACCCCCATCTCCTCCCGATTACTGGCTTCTGGGGCTTCTGGGGCTGGCCTGCTGCCCAGGATGGCGGCTCACGATGGCGGCTGTGCTGTCCTGCCCTGCCTGCAGTATGCAAATTAGCCGCCATCTTTGTTGGTGGTTAATTTGCATATCACACTGATTAGCCTATGTGAGGCGTAGCGAAGGTACGGTCAATTACCATGTTTGTCTATTATTAGATAGGATAGATGTTAAATGCTGCCTTTGTTGTAGCCTTTCCACTCCACCTCCTCCCCTCCTCTCACTTATTTTAAAATAAATCAAAACATTTTTGGAGACCTTAAAAGTATCTGTGGGCCCTGGGTTCAGAACCTTCCTTGCCAAATGGACGTTAGTTCTCCTTGGTGCCTGGGAATTGACTGTTAAATGTTTTGATCATCACCTTTGGTAAGACTTAAATTTGTATCTGAGAAGTATGTGGATGGAAAAAAAAAGGGGATACTTTGGAAAGTAACTTCATAGGGTGATCTAATCATAAAATCCAAACTGGGCAGGTCACGGTGGGTAGTCTCACCCCAGGCATAAAATTTCTTTAGTGGAAAGTTTTTAGCCAGCCCTGTCCATTGTTTTTGTGCCTCTAGATCAGTGGTTCTCAACCTTCCTAATGCCGCGACCCTTTAATACAGTTCCTTATGTTGTGGTGACCCCCAATTTCATTGTTACAAATTGAACATAATTAAAGCATAGTGATTAATCACAAAAACAATATGTAATTATATATGTGTTTTCCGATGGTCTTAGGCGACCCCTGTGAAAGGGTTTGCTGCCTCGCACAACCACTTCAAAAATACAACTAAAAGACAAAACGGACATCATCCAGAACCACAGGAAGGCTGGCTGAGTGGAAATTCTACAACTAGAAGGAAAGAGAAAAGCACACTGAGACTCAGAGGAGGTGCGGAAGTAAAATGCAGAGGTACGGAGGCTCGAGCACGCATGGAAAGGGGCTGGCAACGGAGGACGCCAGTGTCTTTTGCATTCGGGAGGGAGACACAAGCTCCCGAAGGCTCTGAACTCCACTTTCGGGCAAGTCTCTGGGGACCCAGACTCATACGGGGAGAAACTGGACTGTCTGGCAGCGGGCGGAACTCGAGGGCAGCTTTCTCTCAGAGGTGCTTGCAGCGATTCCCAGGACGCTGAGACCTGGGACCTCTTAGGGCAGGACTGAGGATCAGCCATAGCTGTTTGTTCCACCCTGTTGATTTCCTGAGTCCCCACCCCACCCAAGCTGCTAGCAGAGGCTTTTGCATATGAATGGGCTGGCCCTTTGAGATCTAAAATTACCTAACAAACTGCAGCTGGGTCAGAAAGACCCAGAACATCCAAAAGAAGGGCCAAGGCCCCACAGCAGCTTGCATTGCTTCACAGCTGGGCCTCATCTGGGCACCTCCAAAACCCAAACAAGGAAGAGGAACATGCAGATCTCTCCGTAGCTCCTGCTGGGTAGCCTCAGGAAGAGGCTAAATTAATACCTCCTTAGAGATCGAAGAGCCTGTGTACCCAGTGGTCAGATTGGGACCATCCAGATTACAACTCCTCAGATCCATAAGGGACACACTCAGGGGGCAGACCCAATGAGCACCAAAGCACCACTGAAGCAAGTCTTGCCCCAAAAGGGTGTCTCCAGCACAGAAGTTCTCC